GAAGATTTACTTATAAGTTACGTGTCAAAATAATATTAATTAAATAAAAATGTAGTGTGTGCTGTAATTAAACGTACATTAAATAAACATTAAATTTTTTAATGGAATTACGTTCTATCATGTCCAACAATACCAGCATGGTTTTTTTTAACTTACGGGTAATTACTTGCGTTTTTGACACTACAACATTATATTTTAATTTTTATTGTATTCTTTGACGATTGACAAGTAAATAAAGATTTATAATATTCTATATATTCTTTAGATAAAAATAAATACGAAAAGTTTTCTTTATAAAATAATTTACGCTGAACATAATAATGTATATATATATATATATATATAACTTTAATTCATTTGTAATGATAGGATAATCTGAATACCTCATGTAAATAATGAAGAATTAAGACTATATTTCAACGTAAAATCTATATTGTATTACACATTTTATGAGGACTAACTGCAACTTTCGACGAAGTCGCTGTATTATGAAAGTTACATCCGTATTCGTTGGATCGGACGTAACTTTAAACGCGCTAGTGATGGTTCGGCATCGTAATGGAGATATTACATCGTGAGGCACGAAGCGTGAGGCAAGGCGAAGCGAGGCAACAGTGTTCTGATGACGGGGTGAAAAACGAATAAACGAACGAGCGTTGCTTCCCTACTCCCACCCTAACACGGTCATCCTAACTTCGTTAACCGGTAGTACACTGTTTGTACGGTAATCGTACGCGAGGCGAGAGGAACGGACAGAGGGAAAAAGAAGGGTAGACTGCCGCTACACCTTGCCCACGTCGGGGGCTCTTACGCGCTGTTTAACTTATCCATTTAAAACTCAAACACACGAAACAATTAATTAGTAATTAACGCTAGCCGGTAGCCGGAGCAATGGAATAGAGAGAGGAAGACAGGTGGACGGCTAGGCAGGTAAGAAGGAAGGACGTTCCTCTCAAAGGGCGGCCGTTCTACCAGCCTCGAAAAGGAGATATTGAATGGGTAGCAAGAGGCTTCCGCGAGTGCAAGAAACTTTAAAGTTCAGAACTTTAGTTCAGCTGTTAGCTTCTAATTAGCGGACAAACAGCCAGCCCCGAGATACAGGCATCGCGTCTATTGGTGGCCTGGAGGGAAGAAATTGTAAACTAGATGACTATCTGCTCTCGTCCATTTTCATCTGGTTTTATCTAGTTACGCTGTAAATAAAATTATATTAAAATATTAAGAATATAATCAAGAATTAATTTAAACACATTGTCGATAATAAATTTGCCATGATTATTATTCATTAAAGATTTTAATGTTGATGAGAAATGTTTCTTACATGAAAAACTATATGTTTTATAATATACAAGAATAGAATATTATGACATTTTTTATTTCAAACTTTTCTCTTCCTAATTAAGAAATATAAAAAATATTTTACTTTATTTTTCTTTGTATTGTCACTATACAGTATTTTCACTATGTTAATCATATACTACTTATTCCAAGTGCAACGTTTTGTAATATTTTGCTTACCGAAGGAACTTAACGCGATCTGCTTTAGAATCACCAGTTCTGCAAGCTTCATTCCTTTTCCATCTTCCTGGTCCTCTTACAGATTACCTGTCACTCCGTGCCTGAATTAACCGCTACCTGTCGACATTATGAAAACGTTGGGCGTTACTGCCTGCGTCGCGAGTTGGTAACGTTTACCTATGAAATGACAAACGCACTCATGCCGCAAGTTTTGCACGGACGGCAGTCTGTGTATCGGTTCTAAACGGCGGGTCGCGGATTGGCCGGGGTGGGGGTTGCCCGGGGTGGCGAGTCGGGTCACCGTTGGTGCGAGGGTTTCAATATGCTTCGGTGGTAGTTACAGTACCCTCTCCGGACCACCGCAGATCGGTCTAGGCGGTGAACGGGTGGCAGGTGGAGGGTGGCGGAGGAAGGAGGACTATCGTGCTGCGGTATCGGTCGCCTTGGTTATTTAGGAAACCATATCAAAGTTTGAGTTGGCTGCCTGCCGCTGCTGCGCACCCTCTCTATCGGCACCCCCGCCTCTGGACAATGAGGTCTCTTCCGGTCTCGTCGAGGTCGCCCTTGACGTTCGTTACAACGCCAAATAACGGTATCTGAAGCCACTGGAGTATATGAGAAAATGTATTATACGTTGTAGAAATTTGCAGCTTTCATCAACGTTGAGAATTATTAGAATGAAAACAATTTGTCTGCCAAAAATATGTATAAATTGAATTAGTTGTCTGGAAACATTCACGCTATCGCGCGAATAAAAATTTAACGGATTATTGTGCAACTTTTCTAGAATTTTATAAAAGAATGGCAACTTTACGTTTACTTATTTCAGTAGTGATATTTTTGGTATGAGAAAATATTCGTTGAAAAATAAGAAAATAATGAAATGATTTGTAGAAAATAAGATATTTAAGTATAACAAATTAAGCTAATGAAATAAGTAAGTCAATGAAAATTCTGTATAAATCACGGTCACTACGCTCGCGCATTTTTCGCAATGACGTGCAGAAACCAATAGAAGACGACGTGTTACCGCAGTGAATTGTAGAGCGAGAAAGGGAGGCGGTTCTTCTAGTTTCCCGCCAGGTCCGCGGGTTCTTCAGGAAGGGTCTAGAGATTTAATTAAGGCAAGGCGACGGGTAGAAAGACGAGTCGCTACGTCGTGTAAACTCGAGCCCACCCGTTGGTCCCCCTGTTCACCTCCGTCTTCTGTCCCCGTCTTTGAAACGAGCCAAGTCAGTTACTCCTTCACGCTATTCGAGAGGATCTCTCTTGAAAACTCGTGAGAACGCTGCACACGTCTAGAGCGTAGATCTTGTTCGGCCGAGCGTGTGCGTCAAAGTTCGTCAGGCTACTCGGATTTCCAGCGTCAGAAATTCTCTTCAGGAGGGCCATGTCTTATTGCGACTTTCGTAAACCTTGTCACGATGTGAAGGCGTTTCCACAAAGTTAGCGAAATGTTTCATTAAATGGCAAAAGGATTCAAATATATTTTTATACGCAAAAATGTATAATCATTATAATCATTATAACCATTCCAATTTCGATATTATTAGAATATTTTATCTTAACAAGATTATTATTATGTACGAGATATCATGTTAGACCGAACTAACTAATTAATAATACTCAGTAAGATTCAACAAAGAAGTTTTTTTCGGGAGCTTTTACTTTGTTCTTCTTCGCAAGCGTTAAGCTTACCGGCTCTCTTCATTCAAAGTCCACTACGAAACAGCGCACAGGCATCATCTGCCTCGCGGTTTTAGCGTCAATAATTTGCAAAGGCTGCGGGGCAGGTTCTAACCGACTGATTTCACGCATCTGGCGTTTGGTGGTTTAGTCTGGCCCAGTCCATGCTCGCTTCGGAGCGAGAGGATCGGCGAAAGATGTCGGAAACAAGGTAGAAGGTGAGAGACAGTTAGAGAGAGAGAGAGAGAGAGAGAGAGAGAAGAGAGAGAGAGAGAGAGAGAGAGCCAAGAGAAAGCTGCAGGAGTTAGATGGCGAGAGAGTGGGTGGATGAAAGCAGAGGGCGAGTGCGGGCAGTCCCTCGCCGCCGTGGTGGTCCCGTGATCAATATTCCTTACCCCCTTTGCCTTGGCTTACCCCTCCGGCACGATACGGGTGCCCCTTACTTCGGGAAAACCCTCCTTCTACTCATACACCCGCCACCTATCCCCTGCCCCCTCAGGGGAGAACCCGGCAGAAACCCCTGAAACCCCTCTCGCACCCTCGTCTTAATTAGGAGTCTGAATCTGCGGCGGACACGCGTATAAGGGTAGGTTGGAGGAGGTCGAAAGGGGGTAGAGTGTGGGTGGATGGTTAGCGGTAGAGGCCGGGGTAAATCCGCAGACGAGCCTCGTGTCCGAGACATTATTCCCGACTTCGTTGCGATCGCCCGCGTCACGAGAACGTCGGGTCACCCTTTTTATTATTTCCCGAGATAAACACATTTGCGCATCCTTACCCTGCCGCGCAGGATCAACGCTGACTACCGCCAACTCGTGTCCGGTCCATTTTCTGGACGAAAGAATTTCGCCATCGACTTCACCCCTATTTAACGCACAATTAGCCGACGTGAGTCCCTGTTCATGCTTCTTACGCACAGAATACCTCAGCAATTGCTGCCTTTACAACTACATATAATTTTATTCGTTTCCGCACAAGTTTTAGCTGTCAACATTTTACGAATAGAATTATAAATCGTCAATACGATTTTTCTGATACTGATTATGCTTTGATTTATATTTGCCATGCCTTTTCAAAGTTTTCGATAAATTACACATTTATATAATTATTTCCTATCTTAATGAAATTAAAAAAAGAACTACGAGTGAGAGCAGTCACGATTACATTAAAACAATCAATTATAGCTAACAGATGCAGAATTTTAAGGAACTTGAAGTGTGCATACGCGGATAGCAAGGATATTTACATGCGTGGTACATATAGGATGGTATATGAAGGGTGGGTGGCGGTGAAGCTGAACCGAGAGGATATTGGGGTTAGGCCATTCATTAGATTATGGGAATTTGGTGGTACCCGTCGAAGGGAAAGGAGAGGAAGTGCTGGGGTTAGGCTGCACGATCAAGGACCACCCAACGTGCATTAACTTGCGTCACAAGGCGCGGCGATGGGGTTGAGAATGGATAAGAAGTACAAAAAGAATGGATATCTTCTCGATTATGTTTTCTCATTGAATTTCTTTTTTTATTTAATATTATGCAGCAGATTTGTGTTAAAAAATTATTTACTAAGAATTTTATAATATATTATATTATTCACGATGCGCTAAAGAATCTACGCGAGCGAATTGAATTTACGTTACAACACTTATTTTGCATTAAAAGAAAGTAGAATATATTAATTTTTTAAAAATATTATTATATGCAAATAATGATATTTATTTATCTAAGCTTCTAAATATTTAAGTATTTTATATTTCTACTAAAGTCAGAGGACTAATGGGTACATTTTTTCTTTTGCAGAGCCGTCCCTAGCGAGGCGGGAATATCCCCGCCAAATCATGAACAAGGTAAGTTCAAACATAGTTTGAAAGCGCTTATATAACTCTTTTATTTTTATAATCGTAATACAAAGATTGAAAATTGGAATAAAATGTAATTTTGATGACGTCAACAGCTTCATATTAATTATTAATTATTAATTTAAATTAAAAATTTCTTATTATTTTACACATTTAAAATAGTTTCTTTCACTGATAAATTACATGAAAAAAATATAGCGTTATACATGAGGATTGAGGCTTTCATCGAGAAGCCCAACAAGTCAGTTACTAGGGAGGATCGATCTAACACCTTTAATTGGTTTTCGTGCACCGCGACTCGCATTGCGTGTTCGTATCTTTAGTTACCAACGTTTGTGACTACCGATCAACAAAACCTTGAAACATTTATACTATTGTATACTAAAAATTACGCATTATTTAAGATACACTATATTTTATAATGCACGTATCTTGCATTTTTTTATATTAACGATATATAATTTTTGTTTAGATATGCAAAGTAATCGACTTTTAAATCTTAAAAAATTTACTCGTTTCCACGTATCATCTTCAAAACTTTATTTTTATCAAGATATATTCTTAAAAATTAAAGTAATAAATGATATAACTAAAATAATTAAGAGAATTGAAGCTATTAGCCAACATTAATTGATTATTTAATAATTATAAATAATAACGTTAAATTATTTTTTTGTTAATAATTTTATACAGTTTAAAATACAGTAAAAATATTTCTTTACTCTTACATGACAAGAATGATTTTGCTGATGTATCTAAAAATTTAGTTACAGTACATGTAGATCTGAAAATAATTTTGTTGGACCATTAAAATAATTTTTAGGAATCTCAAACATGATGAACGATATTGCAAAAAGTTTTGATATTTTAACAACCGGTTTGTATGTATAATTTTTATTCAACAAAATTATTTTCAGATCTCTGTGTATGTGTGTGCGTGCGCGTGCGTGTATCTAGTTAAATTTTTAAATACTTCCACAAAATCATTCTTTCCATGTAAGCGATATGGTCGTGCAATGTTATGAAAATTTAAAAAAATATTTTTTGTAAAAGAGAAATTTACACCAATGTGTTAAAGAATTTATGTCAATATATAATATATGTGTAACTTGTACATGTATATGTGTAAGCTTCATTTATAGGCTCTTTATACGTCGTCTGCCTCTTCTCATTATGTATCGCACATGAGAAAACTTGCTTAGCATTTCTCTTCATCCTTCTCTCTCTCTCTTTCTCTCTCTCTCTCTCTCTCTTTCTCGCTTTTCTCTCCCTCTCTTTTATTCTCACACTTCTGTCTTTTTTACTCTATCATGCCGGTTTTCCTCTTCATTCTGGGGTTGCTATGCCACCATCTACCACCTTCCCCCCTCCCCCGCACATCATTGCCTGTCTCGTTCCTCGGCTTCTTTATAAACTTTTAATGACGGCAAAGCCTAATCGAGAAAACGAGCGAGCATGCCCAGCTTCGCGAAACTACCCGACAAAATCGACAGGATCTCGATGTTCGATACTCAACCAACCAACCATCACTTTGAAAAAACGTTCGTGCAGTCTACAATAATGGCGCATTGCGCGCCACTCTTCAAGTATTATTGACTAATTTATCAATATTATGAGAAAAATGTGAACACGATATATTTGCGATAATTTTTAGATAATTGATTTTTAGATAGGGTAAACCGAGGCGAATTAGATCACAGGACTATACATGTAAATTTTGAGACAGTTAGTTGATATTTGTCATTAATTTGATTACTTTTTATTTCAAAAAAAGCTCATTTAAAAAAAAAATAATAAAATTATCAATTTTCATAATGTTAAAATATTAATGTAACGTTCATTGTTTTATAATGTTGCATAGTCAATAAAAAAAGTCAAGAAGCACAGATGTAAGGTGGTAATAAATTCTATATTTATAATTACAACGAACTATATTTATAAAGTAATTTACTATATTTATACACTTTATTTAATTTTTCGCAAATGTCAATTTAACTATAATGGAAAAAGAATATTTCAACTAAAGAATTTACTGTAATATATGTAAAGAATATTAGTAACTCATTATCTATATTTCTCTACTTTTCGAGGCATGCATAATTTATTTTGTAAAACAATTTGTGAAATATTAATAGAAAAATATATTGATGACCGCTCGATAGCCAGTAGCGATACAACGTTGCATAAAGTAAGTCGTACGAGCAAGAAGTTGAAGTTCGAGCTCGAGTTCGAGCTCGCGGGGGCGCTTTCGATTTGCAACAAATCATTCAGCGTTTACACCCGGCTGCCCGTCCAGTTGAATTAAACTTCTACCGAGAACTTCGTTCTCCGTTTACCGGCTTGGAGGTATACATATACACTGGGTATAGCTAACCGTCTGTACCTGCGAACTGCTTCTCGAAGTTCGCTCCCAGTGCCTTCGTGCGAAAGCAGTTAGCTGTTTGACGTAGCGCTATGCTCGTTACGGACATGTTTGGATTAACATGCCTACGCACGATGTACGCGAGTAAAACAAATTAAAGCGATAAGTGGTATCTGATAGTTGGATATTTTTGTATATCTTGATACGTTTACATTTGAAACGGCACCTGATTACTGGTAATATTCAAATATATAATACTTAAATACATTCGAAGGCAATACATTGCAGAACATTATTGTAAGATTTACGAATTGTTAAGGAGGACTATTTGTTATTAGATAAAAAGATAATTATGTTTAGTTAGCATTTATTAGGGAAAATACATTTTTAGTGAAAGTCCTATATTTCGATATATCGATTGAATCTCTTTACGTACATTATCACTGGTTCGTAAATTCGGTCGTATACGAGCTATAGCTTTTTCTTTCCCTCGAAAAAGGGAATGGCGACATAAACCCGTAACGTTCGACTCCTAAAGCACGATTAAACTAATCCTTACTTATTTGTTCCGTGTTCCTCAGTGCGTACGTCCTCTGTTACTATTAGATATATCTTCTGATCGTTGTTTCCTTGGGGATGGTCCTGGGAAAATTGGGCAAGTTCGAAATTTCTCTCGTATCGTTGCTCTCTGTACTTTACACGATTGTAACAAGTTACAAGAATGAATATAACATATGTATAATATTACATATATCAATATATGTATTACATATATATGTATATGCTTAGTGAAATTTAATATATCATAATAATATTTAAAAAGATTGTAACAGTTTAGAAAGGATCTACTTCTTCCTTTGTATTGAATAAAAATTGAGTATAATTATTCAATTTAAGAGGTTAATATTCTTAATGTTAAATAATACACAAAAATACTAATTTACTAAAAATATGATTTTATGAAATATGACTGAAGTATGACTGAAATATTCCTGACAAATCTGACTTTTAAATCCCTCGTTGTCGAAAGCATTAGTCACGAAATAAATGTATTGCGGGTGTTCTTCCAGTGGCGTTTAAAGGAGTACCGGTGTCGGAGAGTATACTGTGCGCCATTTAGTGGCGGCACTCTCTTTCATAAAAGACCTTAATAAAAATCCCAATCTAAACAAGCTTAATTTACGTCCGCCACATAATTACCTACCCTGAGGCATGACTTCCCTCGCTCACCCCCTCTGCTACGAACTACCTCTGCTGGCTCACTCCTCGCAGGAGAAAAGGCGAAGGGACGGGAACGAAGGAGGTGCGCGCGTCGAGAGCGCACTGAAAAATCTAAGAGGCTTAAAGCATTAAAAGGGTTATATAACATTCATTACCAGCGGGTCAGCCTTTGTGAAATTTCCCTTGGAAGCGCCTTCACTCAGTGGACACGACCTTCTCTCGCCCCCCTTGATTTTTCTCCTCCCAATCCTCTCGCTCGCCCTTTCGAGCCGCCATCAAAAAGGGGTGCAGAGTAGTCACGTGATCGCACCATCGTCCGGCATAAGGGGCGACGGGATGGAAAGTGGCGGAGAAAGGAGAAGAGAGGAGGGTCCGCCTCTCTGATGAAGATGTCGCACACGCCGGGGACCCTGGCGAGATTACTCGGGTTAGAACCTGCGGACCCTGGTCAGGGCACATGCTAATTGCTTTATTTGACATCAAGAAATAATGTACTGCTGTTCTCTGGTACGACCATCGCCGTGTGGGAACCTCGCGAGGAAACCAGTAGTCCTTCGTCCTCACATCGCGTCCTTTCTCACTCTGCCACTCCTTCGACTATTCCTATAAATTCTCTCGCATCCCATGAAATGGCATTCTCTCGAAAATCTCATGGATTGCATCTCGTCTAGTACAAATATTGTACAAACATTAACATCTGTATTCGTTGTTCTTATTCTGTAAACGTATATATTACGATCAAAAAGATATACACATATAAATTAAATGTACATATAATTGAATTGCTCGCGAAGGAATATTTTTATTGAATATTCGATTTATTTCTCATTCTTATAGAAATATCTTTTTTATTTATCGTTGCAACTTTTCATAGGACGTAGGACTATAAGCCGCGTCATATGGAATGTAAAGTACAGAGCAGTTTGGTTGTAAAAAAGACTTATGTTTTTACTCTCGACTTGGAGGACCCAATTTCATAGAGCTACGTGAGGCGACTGGTTACGTAAGCAGATCCAACTAGAAGCCGGACCTAATAACCCTTAGTCGGACCAATAAACATTTTTCCAGGTTACATATGACAAAATTTGTATGCCAAATCGCGTATATCCAAGAGATGGTAGTGCGTTCCGACGCGGGGCACGCGCCTTTCTCGTAAATATGCCCTTGGTTGGCAAAGTGCTATCGCGTGAGAAGGGGAAAGGCGGGGGAAGAAACGGGGTATACGGGGGTTTAGGGTCGGTTCTGGGGTCGCCAAGGGTGCATTTCATCTTCGGAGGCGTCAGCTCGGAGACCGATCGACTATACGGCCGTCGGTTGGATCATCCATCTTTTATCGAATCGGACCTGATGGCCAGGCTACCGCTGCCGCTACCGCGGACTCGCAACTTTTGCCTCTCCGAAGACT